TGAATGGCTATGGCCTTAGATCTGCAGAGGTAGTCACCACTCCAGGTATGTAGCACTCTTTATTTACAGCTGTACAAAAATATTTAGGGGGGTACTACTTAACTGATTTGCCCCTTTGAGCTTAATCATTTAAGTCTGATAATATATTTACAGATAATAGGATGGCTATGCGTCTTCAGTTTTAATTGTTGTGTTCCCATTACTGAGATTGTTGTCCCTTACCTGCAATTTCAGTGATTGGATGCAAAGGAAGTATGCCAGTGGCATAGAATTGCCAATTTCCTGACAGTCATTCTGACCCTCCGTTGTTCTACCCAATATGGAAAAAAATAACCTTCATAGCTAGTAGGCTTGATGACATAGCTGTCCAGACATGGATTATTAATTGTTTATGGCTTTGATCCCTGCAGGAAATCTGTACATTTTCCTACCATATCGATGGTAAAACAGTGGGTGGTGAATGGTACCATACCAGACATGACTGCTTACTAGATTTTTTTTTTTCATTCAACAGAATAATAACTGTTAAAGTATAATGTGGTACACTTATATTTCTGCACAGCAACACTTCACCCTATAGTATCCCAGAAAAGTTATCCACCTCCACCCTTGAAGGCTAATTAGACAAAATATATGACTTTCCTTTTAAGCAAATAAATAAAATAAAATAAAATAAAACCAACATAAAACATCAAACCATAAGAATTGTCCAAAATATCAAAGTGTCCAAAATTCAAAAAAATATAGAAAAAAACAAAAATAATCCCCACAGGTGTCAAATGAAAATTTTCCTTCTTCTTTCATCACCAAAAAAATCCTTCTCAATACCCGCAAATCCTGATGTCCGTACACCTGAAAAAGAAAAAACTTGACATAGTGTCATACCTTAAAATAATATTATAACACACGTGCCACTCACTGTGCAGCATGCAAAAATATTTTTTTAAAGATGTCTATGCTCTAAACGAGTATCTATACACATGCAAATATTTTATAGTGAATATCAGTATAAGTGAAGCACACTCACATAGAATATTAAAAACACAATGTGTGAAAACCACTCCAAAATATCACTGCAAGTGTGTATCACCACACCCTGTATACATCAGTGATAACCTAAACCCAAATCACCACTCTCCAACTCATATGCTGATGGGTAATTACCCTATAAAAGAAACAGCAGGGCAAAACACCACTCTGGGTTAATTTCTCCTCATAACGATTTTCTCCAATGCTAGGGTTATTTCTTCCATTATCCTCAAGAAAATCAGTCACAGTATATAAAAGATATCCTCCTTTATTGGTAACTCACATAACATTTGGGTGGCAACAGCTCCTCCTCACAAGGATACAAGCATGGACAGATTCAGGGAAACATTGGCCGCATGTTCCCAATTCCAAGATGGCCGCGATCGCACTTCCGGTCAACGTCGATACGTCTGACGTCACGTGTCCCTTGTTTATGGCTTTGATCCCTGCAGGAAATCTGTACATTTTCCTACCATATCGATGGTAAAACAGTGGGTGGTGAATGGTACCATACCAGACATGACTGCTTACTAGATTTTTTTTTTCATTCAACAGAATAATAACTGTTAAAGTATAATGTGGTACAATGTCAATCGGTTTCTGCATATTTCTGTATGACCGTTTGCTAAAAGTCTCTAGAAGCTTAGAACTTGTTGGTCCACTACCCAAATGTTTTTTTACAGAGATCTCTGGCTCATGAGCCGTGATCAGCACTGCAATGGACGGTGTCACAAACAAAAACAGAAGGTAGCACTCAACAGCTGTTGACTTCCAGAAAAAAAGTATTAAGCAGCTGTTACCAAAGAAGCTGTAACATCAGAGATAGCTATGAGCCAAATGTGATTGGTGGAACATTCAGTTCAGTTACAATAAAATATGAAGAAATCCATAAACAACATTCATTCTTATGAAAAAAAAAAATACTGAAAATTCCCTACTGACCTAGAACGTTAATGGTATTATTGATATCGATAGATTTTTATTATTACTGGCCACTGCTATAGATTTTCAGTTAGACAGTGGCTTTAATGTGTCTTAATATAGAAAACACCATCACAGCATCTCTTACCATACGCCTGCCTTACTATTCATTTTGTGACCAGTGGAAATGTAATTTTCTTAACGATTATCAGCGTTTTGTCTTGGTGACGTTTTCAAGAAGACTCATTTGAATCCATTAGGATCACAGTCTATGAAAGAAATGCAGACATAGTGCTTCACACAGGAGGAATGAGAATATGCCACTAAGCTGTTTTACGTGATTGTCTGTGATTGCCTACCAGGTAGACGTCTTTTATAATTTCTATGAAAATTGCAAATCAATTAAAGCAGCCCTAAGGTCTATGCAGCTGTTTCATTGCAAAATAAGGGAAAATATTCCCTATGCAGTAGCACTATCGATGTTGCTTTCTATAGTGCAACTTTAAATGGACCTGTTTTTGTGAAGAATTTTTTTTCCATATAACATACATTTTTACACATTTCACATGGTTACCACTCCAGAAATAATATTTATTACATTTCATATTTATTTATTTTATCCTAGGTACAATTTATATAACATTATCATGCATTTTACAATAAAACAGCACTGTATAGTAAAATTCAGTATATACATTATTTATATAAATATCAGGCAAGGAAGAAAGTGATTTTTATTTATACTGTATATTTTGAACATTGTTATGGGAGATCTGTACATACATTTTTTTAATTCAGTTTTTGGGGGTTTTTTTGCTTCTTAATTGAATCCTGACTCTTTGTGATAGTGTAAACTTTAGCACAGACCTTTGTCAGAAACAATAAGGTCCTTATTCATTGCTGCCATTTATCCACTCTAACCCTTCTGGCCTCCTTTTCCTTTTGCCTTCAGTCTGTCAAGGTACCTGAACCTTTACCACTGAGTTCTACCTTTGTATTAAGTGACCAGAATACATATAGTTAGTGTCAATCCTTCCTCTGATTAATCTGGGGGTATTTTTTTTTTTTTTAACAGTGACTTTTTTTTTCTCTAAAAGTCCAAGCGACTATGGCCACTTTTCTACATACAAAAATGTAGTGTGTCAATTTTATGCTACCAAGCTTTCCTAGTAATTACATTGTTATGGCTGTATGTGATTGTTTGCTGATACGAACGTATCCCTGCTTTCAATAATTTGGGGATAGTTGTGATAGGCTTTTCCCTAAAAAGTAAAATTTAACAGCTGAAAATACTATATAGAGTATTTAAAGCCCACTCTTTTATGTGAACATTGCTATAATTTAAAACATAGTGGAACGGGGTGTTAAAATTGGCTGCAAATGGGGAAAATACAGTATTGCTACCCTGCTAAGGAGTTACTAGTTCGTAGAGCATAGCAAGAGGGCTTTTTCTCTGAAAAGGGACACCTTTTAGTACAAAGCAGTTAGGTAAAAGATACGTCCCTGCCACACTCAGTTATGCTGACCACAAAGTTTATTATTGTATAAAAAATAATTGATTACATCCATAAGTGCTTCTTTTTCACAACTTCTTTTCTGGGTTTTCATGTTTTTTAAAATAACAAATGCTGTCATTTAGAGGAATTTAAGGCACAGTTCCTCCATATGAAGGACAGTTGGGAGTTATTTGACTAAAAATCTCTGTTGGTGTGTTTGGTGTTAAAAATACACTGAACAAGAACTGTGCTTAGCTATCTTGGAAAAACTATATGTGAAGATAAAAAAAAATAATCTGAACTGTGGAACATATTGTATGGATCACCATAGGGCTGCTTTACCACCTCAAGGCCTGGACAGATAATCACATAAAGAACAATGAATTCAAAATAGTAGCAAACAATTTTATAGATGAGGTTGGGGAAGTGGTCCATCCAATGAGGTGTAATACCTCTTTATAACCATTTATGTCATTGATGTCTAAATTCTCAGGCCAATTTTGGCAGCTTCAGCATGCATAAGTTAACTTGTCATTGACATCCACGACTGAGAGTCAGCAGCTGTGCAGAGGGTTAGCTGATGGTTCTCAAGGGGAAAAGGGTGCATTTATATATGTATTCTCAGCTGGAGTCATCTTGCTAGGGGACATGTAAAGACTGCAGACAGGAAGGGCTCTAGGACTGGCAAAGTCAAAGAACAGATCTCCCCTCATTTGAGAAGCTGTGGCACCTGAAGCTGTCCATTCAAGGAACATTTTTGTAGAGAGGAGGTGTCTACAATTCCTCCCAACCAATGTATCTGATCAGTAGGTACAAAAGATGTTTGGTGGAGGTTATTGTTGCTAAAAGAGCCTGAACCAGTTGTTCAGTACATTTATTTTATTTATTTGATGTTCAGTACATGGGCTGTTGTTATTTTTTTTCCCCCAGGATTTTAAATGTGTAAATATTGTGTTCACTAAAGACAAGGAATAATACACTTATATCTGTGTTAATAGTTTAAATCGGCATTAAACCCAGAAACAAATATGTAATATACTGCAGCTTACTAATTATTTACATGTGGTGGCTGCATTTGTTTTCTTTTTATTAAGACTTTTTTCCTTTATTTCACCTGGTGATCCGGCCAGTAACACCTTTCTTGTCTTTAGGGTATCTGCATGCTGGATGAAGTAGTAAAGCAGACACCTTTGAACAGCAGCATTGTCAGTCTGGGTAGAAGGTATTGTTAGACTAGCAGCTTTAGATGGACTTGAAAAACAAATTGAAGCTGAACTCCAGATTACACTTTATAAGCAGTTACAGCAAACCGTTTTTTCCCTTTGGGATAAAGGTTTACATAAATGAACAAAAGCTGAGAAAGAATCCTTGTAATTCCGACATGTTCACAAACTTTTTATTGAAACAATATTGTACAATATTAGTATGCAACTAGAATAAAAGTAGCTTTAATATCCTGCAGGAACATGTGAGCACAATTTGCCTTGATGCTATGTATTTTGTACCCAGTTTATTCTAACAATTACTGTTCATCTGTTTTTAGCTCGGAAGTCTAAAAAGCTAGGAAAGTTAAAAGGAGTTCATGAAGAACACCAGCAACCTCCTCTTCAGCAGCCACCTATACAGAGTCCAAAGGAAGAAACCACATTCACATCCCTACCAAAAGACACCTCTGTTTCCACAAACACAACTATTGTTCCAATCATATCTGCTGTATCCCCTGGACTTACACTGTCAGCAACTGTGATACTTGAAAATATAGAACCAGAAATTGTGTATGCGGGATATGACAGTTCACAGCCAGACACAGCAGAACACCTTCTATCCAGCCTCAACCGATTAGCTGGGAAACAGATGATCCAAGTGGTCAAATGGGCAAAAGTGATTCCAGGTATGTAATGAAGTTTATAGGATTGTGGTGGAACATATTTATTTTTTATTTTGAATGTGTACTTTGCAATATCATGGATACTCTATATAGCTGATATCACAACATTTATAATACCTTAAACTGTTAGATACAAACATAGCTTCAGCCAGGAACATGCACACAAGGGTGTTTCCTTAGGTCTCCCTAAGGGAAAACAGACTCCCTGAGTAGGGAGAACTGATACTGAGTGGCACATCGGAACCAGATGGTAGGAACACAGCCGGAATGAAAGAAGCAGTGTATCATGTAGAGTAAGTCATTACCCAAACAATAGAATTTTGGGAAAAAGATTAAAAACAAACCAAACTTACATAATTGCCAGAGCTCTGGACTGTGGAGAAGGCGGGAGCAGCCTGCCCAGGCTCTCAGCGGTGTACTGAGAGGCTGAGACAGCTGCTGGTGTAAAACTAACTGCACTCCTGTGACCCACATGAGAATTCTGGCCAAAAGAGCTTTGGTCATAGTTCTTTTAAGATCACTTGAACTCTGTATTGAGGTAGACTAGTCAAGTGATCTTTGCACCAGGTGGAGCTTTTACATTGCCATGTCACCATCTTCTCCTCTAACAAATTAACACATGCAGGTAATCTGTATTATGTGTATTACAGAAATTCTGCCTTCTGCAGCACCTACTATGCCGTGGCATTCAGTGCTAGTAGAAACACTGTAATAACATTGAGGTTGGGGGGGGGGGGGGATGTTGAACACTGTGGGCGGTTCTGAAGTTGACTGATTCAGCACCCTTGTACACGAGGCCGCCTAGGAGCAGTGTTTCTCTTCAGGAATGTTGGCATTCCTAGGTAGGAACATTTACAGTATCCAGCATTGCTGCAGGCAGCCTGTCAAAGTCTTTGGCAGGCTGCAGCTGGATGAGGATGAACGCTGTATTGAGTGGTACCTGCATTTAGGGCCCTGTGCATTCAAGGACAAAGGTCTGGAATGCAGAAGACAACTGAACACCGGCATTCCGGACCTTCATCCTTGAACACACAAGGCCCTAAATGTGAGTACGACTTAGTACAGCATTGAGCCCCGTCTATCCGCAGCATGCCGTATACTTGATAGGTTGAATGTAGCGGGGCTGGGAAATGAACCTGTCTCACATGGGAGCATTAAACTACTGTTAGGGACACACGACTCCCAGACAGCCCTCTGTGTAAGGGTCCTTATGGTTTCTTGTATGCATGTATAATATATCAAAAAGATGCGCCACTTGACGTGGAACTTTAGTCAGAAAATTAGGTTCTGCTAGATCACCTCAGACTGGCCCCTTTTGCAGGAATAGCTGTGTAAAAGATTAAAAATAATTGCCTATACTGTTTAAAATCCAGTAATGGACTGTTTCAGCTTGCATTGCACATGCTCAGTTGCTCTCTATATTTTGGCAGTGCCAAAATTGTAGAGGTCGATCTGCTGACAGCCTAAAGATTTATTGCTGCTCAGGGGCTCTGGGCTTCAGCAAAATATCAGCCTTCGGCTAAAAGGAACAGAAACAATGCTGGAGGCAATTTACAGCACAGACTAATTTTGGTAGCATAAATATTGATGTGGAATGTATTTTCCTTGCAAAAGATTGTTATCAAGTTGTTATGGGTAAAGTTCCAATTTAAATACACTATCCAGGAATTAAGGATATTGTAGTTACTACACTAAGGTATGTGGAATGGTGCTATAGATATGGTTCCCTTTCAGACACCATTCTCATTATGTTGTTGCCATAACTGGCAATGAAAAGGTCCCTGGTCAATGATCTGCTGTAGGAGTCTGTGTTTCCCCATCTGCAAGATAAAAACATCTCAAATGTCCTAATCTCTTTAGGTTAAATCCCCACTACATATGCATGTCTTTAATTCAGGATGTGGACAAATAATTTCCATTTTATCAACTATGTGTTTAAAGGATCAGGTCACCTTTCCAGAAAGCATAATAAATGCACATATTTTTGCCGGAAGTAATGTGTATTTTTTTTTTTTTCCTGCAGAAGCCTGCAAAGCATTGCATCCGCCATCAGTGGATCAGGGGTGCAATCTCAGGCCCTGCAGCTTTCTATCCAAACCTTCATACAGGCTATTTGAGAGCTGCAGTATTTGTCAATGAACTACGAAAGTGCTCATCAGTGCACTTGCGGTTAATTCAGAATTACAAGCCGTTAGCCATGGGAAACTGAGTGAATGACATGGATGTATGGGCGGAGCCCCACATTGCTGCACTCTTTTCAAGAAGTGACAGCTGATGCAGGGAGAAGATCCCCACCTGCGGTCACACTGAAGGGAGATCAGCAGAACTGGTGGCGGCAGCTGGAGTATGTTACAAGTTCCACCCTAAAAATGGGTAGAACATGTAACATGCTCCAAAAGGTGAACTTATCCTTTCAAATACTTCTATAGTCTTTGTATTTTTCAAGAGCAGAGATTAAGATTATACCACAAATAGATATGTGTATAAAATATCAATTAAATTCTGTAAAAGAAATCCAGACAAATCAATAATATATTGCTCAAAGTGCAGATACAGCAGATGATTTTACCTGTTTTATGTGTTCAATGTGTGTAGAGAGGTACTTGAAATGATCTTTTACCTAACATTTGTTTCTGATGCCCAATGTTACAGGATTATTTATTCTCGCTTTATTTAAGTTAAAACACAAAGACTGTTCCTTTTCTAGGAGAGACCCAAGCAGTGAAGAGTTGAATTAAATTGCTGGAGTCATCTCTATTTTGCTCTTATTAACAGCAGTAGAATTGGGAAAACGTTACATAAACATTCATTTGTTTCTCCCTGCACAACATGAATTATTGCAGCATCACTGTAAAGGATTGCTGAGAACTGGAAAATCAACTTTGTTCTTCCTGCATGTGGTGTTTTAGGCTATGTTAATAAAACTGATTTACCCCACAAGGCACTTTCAGGCATTTAAAAAAATATATTTTGTGGTTTTGGAATATGCAGCATATACTATGCTGTCTAAGTTTTACTTTTAGCTATTGAAGTATTTATTCACTGATATCACAGTTAGCACTATTGTGTCTGGGCCTAATGAAGAACTCTATCCAACTTTGAGACTAATCCCAAAACATGTCTTTTGGTAAACCATAGAGGTCTCATCTTTTCATTATTATGTCAGTTTACTGTGCCAGTCACACCAAACATAGCAAAATACTCCCTTCCATCAGTTACCTGGTCTGTGTATATTTTACATAATGAATGATCTGATATTTTCATTAGCTATCTTCATACTCTGTCTTAATTCAAAGGTGAACAGACTCAACTGACTATCATGCAGTGACCTGATAGCAAATTGGGTTGATTTACTAAGAGAATAGAACTTTGCAAAATGACTGTTCATTTTTTTGTACTAACTTCATTGATCCAATCATGTGAAAGCAAACAAAAATCCATGTTTCTTTTAAATTCTCCTTGCACACTATTGGAAAATTCAAATGAATGTAGCTATACCTTATTCGCTAACTTTAACTTTGCTAAGTGAACATTTTCTGCTCATTTAATAAATCAACCCTTTATGCCAAATAGTCATCAAAAAGTATATTATGTCCAAACTAAACAATAATTTTGTCTGTGTATACATACTGTATCTGTTGTGTTACATGGCACAGCGTTATGTCTTTTTTTAAATTTCCCATATCCCTCATTAATATTAATTTGTTTCAGGATTTAGAAACCTGCCTCTTGAGGACCAAATTACTTTAATCCAGTACTCCTGGATGTGCCTGTCGTCATTTGCCTTGAGCTGGAGATCCTATAAACATGCAAATAGCCAATACTTGTATTTTGCACCAGACTTGATATTTAATGAGTAAGTATTCATTAGTAATTCTTCTAAAATGGTATTTACTTACATAGACAGAATTTCAGATTCCAATCATATGCCTTGCATTGATGTGGCAGGCAGATCGGTTTTTGCTTGATGCAAACAAAATAATCATTGTCCCTATTATCACTTTCTATATGTGATATGTGCATTAAAACAAAATACACAAAATAGAAAATTAGATGTCAGTTACAGTTTAGTTGCAAGCAAAGTTTAGCTTTGATATGGTATTGTGATGCTGTAGCCGCCCTTTGTGTAATAAAATATATAACACACTTATGGATGTGCTAAACTGGGTGGAGGGATCAGAGGAAGTTTTTCCAACTAGTAAATGAAGGGCTGAATGTGCTACGATGGTCAATGTAACTGGAGTACCTAAGTTTCAACATGTGTGGGCTGGCAAAATCCTACTGCAGCCCAGAAGGAACAGGGATAAAATAATATATGGTTGTACAAAATTAAAAGGCATGTTAACTAATGCTAGAAATTTGGTGAACAAAATGGAAGAACTAGAACTACAGGTACATGAAGAGGATTTTGACTTTGTTTGAGTAACAGAGACCTGGTTCAAAAGCACACCTCACTGGCTTGCAACTGTCCAGGGGTACTCCATGTGCCAAGGGGACAGAGTTGGTAGAAGAGGGGGAAGGGTCTGCATGTACGTCAAGAGTGATGTGCTGGTGAACCCGAGGGATGACATTACCAACGGGGCAATGGAAGGGTGGAATCCTTCTGGCTGGTGTTTCAAAGGGAAGAAACAAAAGGATAATTAATATGGGGGGTATGCTACAAGCCCCCTACACTGAAGAATGAAAAGGAGGTGCATCTCTGCTTTCACAGTTAGAAATAGTGGCGAGGCAGAGCTTGGCACTTTTTAAATGTCTTTCAAAATAATTTTATGTGTCAGTTGGTGGATACCCTATCTAGAAACAAGGCTTTGCTTGACCTACTAAGCACAAACAACCCAGAGCTGATAGCGGATGTAGAAGTAAGGGATAACTTAGGAAACTGCAATCACAGGGCAATCACGTTCACTGTAAAGTACAGGAAAAGCAGACACCAGGGTAGGACATGTACATTAAATTTCAAGAGAGCCAGCTTTACCAAACTGCGCTCCATACTTCATGACATTAGATGGGAAGATATTCTAGAAACTGAAAACATGGAGGAAAAGTGGGAGTGCTTTAAGAACATTTTGATTAATGGCATTAGCCAGTGTATTCCAATAGGCAACAAATACAGTGAAGGAAATAAGTATTTGATCCCCTACTGATTTTAAATGTTTGCCCACTCACAAAGAAATGATCAGTGTAAAAATCGAATGGTATGTGTATTGTAACACTGAGAGACAGAATAGCAACAAAAAATTCAAAAGAAATGGATGTCTAACAAATTATGCACTGATTTGCATGTTCATGAGGGAAATAAGTATTTGATCCCCTTCACAAAACATGACTTAGTGGCAAATCCCTTGTTGGCAATCACAGAGGTCAGCCGTTTCCTGTAGTTGGCCACCAGGTTTGCACACATCTCAGGAGGGATTTTGGCCCACTCCTCTTGACAGATCCTCTCCAAATCATTAAGGTTTGGTGGCTGATGTTTGGCAACTCAAACTTTCAGCTCCCTCCACAGATTTTCAATTGCATTAAGGTCTGGAGACTGGCTAGGCCACTCCAGGACCTTAATATGCTTCTTCTTGAGCCACTCCTTTGTTGCCTTGGCCGTGTGTTTTGGGTCACTGTCATGCTGGAACACCCATCCATGACCCATTTGCAATGCCCTGGCTGAGGGAAGAAGGTTTTCACCCAAGATTTGACGGTACATTGCACCGTCTATCATCCCTTTGATGCGGTGCAGTTGTCCTGTCCCCTTAACAGAAAAACACCCCCAAAGCAGAATGTTTCCACCACCATGTTTGCCAGTTGGGATGGTGTTTTGGGGTCATAGGCAGCATTCCTCCTCCTCCAAACACGGCTAGTTTAGTTGAAGCCAAAGAGCTCGATTTTGGTCTCATCTGACCACAATACTTTCAACCAGTCCCCTCTGCATCATTCAGATGTTCAGTGGCAAACTTCAGACGGGCCTGGACATGTGCTTTCTTGAGCAGAGGGACCTTGCGGGCACTGCAGGATTTCAATCCTTGGCGTAGTGTTACCAATTGTTTTCTTGGTGACTGTGGTCCCAGCTGCCTGAAGATCATTGACAAGATCCTCACGTGTAGTTCTGGGATGATTCCTCACTGTTCTCATGATCATTGACACTCCATGAGGTGAGATCTTGCATGGTGCACCAGAACTAGAAAGACTGACAGTTGTTTTGTGTTTCTTCCATTTGCGAATGATTGTACCAACTGTTGTCTCCTCACCAAGCTGCTTGACGATAGTTTGGTAGCCCAGTCCAGCCTTGTGTAAGTGTACAATCTTGTCCCTGAAATCCTTGGACAGCTCTTTGGTCTTTGTCATGGTGGAGAGTTTGGAATCTGATTGTTTGATTGCTCCTGTGGACAGGTGTCTTTTATACAGATAACAACATGAGATTAGCAGCACTCCCTTTAAGAGATTGCTTCTAATCTCAGCTTGTTACCTGTATGAAAGACACCTGGTAGCCAGAAATCCTACTGAATGATAGGGGGGGATCAAATACTTATGTCCCTCATGAACATGCAAATCAGTACATAATTTGTTAGATATGCATTTCTTTAGAATTTTTTGTTGCTATTCTGCTCTTTTTTTTTTTTAATTTAAATATTTATTAAATTTTTCATGTTAATACAAAAACCCATAAAGGGGAAAAGATTCTCATACACATAGACATTTATAACATTTCTACCTTTCCCTTACTAAAAACTTTTCTTTCCCATCCCACTACCCCCCCCCTTTCCACCCCTCCTCCCCCCTCCTCCCCCTCTGCAGACTCTAGCCCATTCTGCTCTCTTGAGGCTTATTAATTTTTACTAACATCCTAGTTCATATTTTCCTATATTTTTCTTTCAATCCTGCTCTTTCCCACTTTTCCCATCTCCTAAAATAAACTCTCATCCTATCTTCCTGCATATGGTATGCTCTTTCCATTCTACCTATCTGGTTCACTCTGTTAATCCAGTCATCCTCCCTCGGTACCTCAGATTTCCGCCAAAACTTGGGTATCAACCCCTTCGCCGTATTCAATAAGTACCATATACCTGAATCTTTATATTTATTTACAGATGTCTCCACATTGTGTAGGAGGCACATCATTGGGTCTAACCCTATGTCAGTTTCAGTTATATCTTCAATCAATTTGACTATTATCTTCCAAAAAGCCTGGATTTTCGGACATTCCCACCATATGTGGAACACCGTGCCTATCTCTCCACATCCTCTCCAACACAAATTTGAATTTTCACCACTCATCTTGTGCTCTACACTCGGTGTAATGTGCCAACGTGTCACACACTTATAATTAACCTCAACCTCTCTCATACTAACATTATCGTGTATCAATCTAAACATCTTTCTCTGTCTATCTTCATCAATCTCCACTCCCATATCTCTTTCCCATTTTGTTATAAAGATTAACTTTGTGTTTGTGTCTAATTCTGTGAGTATTCTATACACTTTTGAAACACCGTGCTTCCCATCCCTTCGTGTCTCTAACAACCTTTCAAACATATTCCACTCCTCTTTTGATCTCAGGGGTTTCGGTAGATTTCCAATAAAACATTTCAATTGATGATGTTTCCACTCATCTATTCTAAAAAAAATATCTCCCTTCTTCTCTATTAAATCTTTTAGTGATCTCAATTCCCCCTCCACCAAAACATCTCTCAGTTGAGTATCTTCCTTTCTAAACCATCTCCCTGATATCTTAATCTTTCCCGGGGGAAAGTACTCAGTGTTTGTGAGAGGCATTAATATAGAATTAAAATCCCATTTCATGCTTTTGTGTAAATTATCCCATACCCTAAAGACATTTAAAGTGTAGATACTTGTGCTTTCTTTAATTCCCCTGAACTGTGGTGGAACCCATATCATCTGACTCAATCTAATGCCACTAAGATCATTTTCAATTGTTACCCAGCTTTTCCCCTTATGGTTAAATGTCCAGTCATATATTCTTGCTAAAACCACTGCTTTATAATATCTCTTGACATCTGGTAGACCCAATCCCCCTTTCTCTTTAGTCCTACTCAATGTTTCATATGCTATTCTAGGTTTTTTATTCTTCCATATGTATCTTGTTAGTATTTTTTTCATTGTCTTGAAGAAGGCTTCTGGAATTTTAATTGGTACCATTTGAAATCTATACAGTATTTTAGGCAGGATTACCATTTTAACTAGGTTTATACGTCCTATCCAGGATGGGTTTCCTCCTTCTAGTCTTTTTAAATCTTCTCTAATCTCATTTATCAAAGAGATATAGTTTAATCTATACAAATGCTTAGATGAGGCAGTGAGTTTTATTCCTAGGTATTTTATCTCTTTTTCTCTCCATATAAAGGGGAATTCTTTTTGTAGTTTTTCTTCTTTTCATTCTTCGATATATTAATATTCAAGATCTCTGTTTTCGTTGGATTAATTTTTAAATTTGATAGTTCACCGTACTCCTTCAGAATCTTCATTATATTTGGGAGAGTTATTCGGGGATTCCCCACATAGAACAATAAGTCGTCCGCAAAGGCCGCAACTCTATGTTCTATGGATTCTATCTGAATTCCCTTTACCGATCCACTATTTCTTATTATTGACAGCAGAGGTTCGAGTGACAATACATATAGCAGAGGGGACAGTGGACAGCCCTGTCTTGTACCATTAGACATTCCAATGGGTTCTGATCTCTCCCCATTTACCGTGATGATTGCAGTGGGCTCCCTATATAATTTACTTATCCACTCTCGCATTCTATCACCTATTCCCAGCACTTTTAAGTTGTCCATCATAAAACCCCAGTCCACTCTATCAAATGCCTTCTCTGCATCAATTGACAAGAGCACCACCGGGGCCTTCCCTT